TCCAGATCCGATTCTGCCAAGCTCGCTCACTTCATCGCCCTGCCTCATATCGTCGCCGACCGATCCACCTCATCCAAGCGCGTTGCCGTGGTGTTCCTCCTTTCTAAAACTAGGTCAGTCTTTCCGCTCCTGGTCTGTGCATATCTTTTGCGCGGCCCCATCCTTGCGCGCTACTTCCCTGAGCAGCGTATATCAAAATTCGCAGGCAGAAGCTCGAGAGCTAGAAAGTTAACCTGTAACAGTCCCAAACCCATATAGCAAATCTCCCCCTGCTACCTTGCACAATTCGACACCATGGTGGACGCAAAGATTCAGTATGTATTACTGCTAGAACATTCACCGCTACATGAGCTAACCTTGCGCAGAGAGCTTCTATCCAAGCCGCGTTCGGAGTTGACGTACGTACACCCTCCAATCCACAACAATTCCTGTACTGACATTGCTGCCTAGCGAGTACGAAGTTGCTCAGGTCGAAGAACATGAGCTCACCACCGGCCCCCTCTCCATCCTCCAGACCGCCGTCCGCTCGCGCACACAAGTCCTGATCTCGTGCCGAAACAACCGCAAGATTCTCGCACGTGTCAAGGCTTTCGACCGTCATTGCAACATGGTTCTCGAGAACGCGAAAGAGATGTGGACTGAGACTCCACGGTTAGCCAACGGCAGCTACGGAAGGAAGGTCAACAAGGACCGCTTCATTTCCAAGCTGTGCGTTCAAATTACACTCTACATTTGCGCATGCGCTGACTTTTATAGGTTCCTACGCGGCGACTCGGTCATTCTTGTATTGCTATCATAAGAGCTTGGAAGCACTGGGGATTTGGGACGGTAGCGCCAGATCGAGCGCACGAAATGGAGTTGGAATGAATTAAAAGTTACATAACCGTCGCGAAATCGGCGAGGAACACCGAACGAATCAAACAACGATACCCCAACTTCTACTTCTTCAACCCGTCACTCAGGCCCAGTAGGAGCTCCGCGAGGCCATGCGCGCCAGGGTCTGGAACCTCTTGGAAACCCTGGCCTCCAACGTAGACCGTTCGCCCCAAGCTCGCTTTCATACCCTTCGTCCCTTGCGCGCCACCTTGTGCCGCCGCAGCCGCTTTGTCGATACTTTCCGTCTTAGACAGCGTCTCAACGAACGGATAGAGGGCATCCATCAGCGTTCGGTCACCGGGTTTGGCAGGAGTGTATTTGCCGAGTGCCTTGAGCGATGAGTCAAGGGCCTCGGACCAGATTGCGGGTGTGACAGGCTGTGGCGACGAGGGCGCGTTTTGGCGCAATCCATGCGCCAGCGCATTCAAGAAGATGGCGTAGATTGCACCTGACGTGCCGTCCATAGCCAGTTCCACCACTTGAATGATGTGATTCATGAGGATCAGCAGATCATCTGTCTCCTTTGCCGTTTCGAGCATCTCGAGAATTGCTGTTGGGTGTCAGCGCCAGGCATCAATGCACACGTGATGATAGCCTACCTTCTGCGCCACGCTTGAGTCCTATTCCGCAATCGCCATCTCCAACTATTGTGTCATATCGGGTGACGTCTGGCTCAGCCTTGATGAGTCTGTTCAGCGCAACTGTCAAGGTTGACTTGGCCTGGGCATAGTTGACTACTCAAGTTAGCGGGCGTCATACGCAGCTCTGCAGGTACTTACCTCTCAGATCACTTGGCTGAATATCCTCTTCATCCACCTGCTCCTCGTTCTTCTTCGCTTCTCCCCGTCTCGCCCATGTGCTGCTACTAATCGCCGCAGACCAGCCACTTGCCTCGGCAGGCGCATCAAGCAGCTCGAGCATTGAAGTGTCGGCGACTCTAAGCAAGCTAATGGAGAAGCCCAATCCGTTCAAACTGGTCATGAAGGTGCCAGCTAGAATACGCACTGGCTTGATCTTGAAGCTGTCCGCCAATTGCTCGACGACTTCGTTCGTGATTCCGCTTAGCTCGAGTGGACTGACACCTCCCAGGTTGTTGACCAGTAGTACCACATCGTCCTTGTCGGTGATCTTGGAGAAGCTTCGGTCCTGGTCCGCTACGTCCAGACAATGCGACAACATTGTCTTTACAAGACCAGGTAGATCGATCTTCTTGCGCTCTGAACCGGCTTCATTATGGATGCCCATTCCAATCTCGACTAGGCCTTCAGCCAGCTCGTCTTCCTCTGCCTCTCGGCGACCTGGCACGTGGACGTGAGCCAGTGAAGAGCCGATCGAGACGGTGTTGTCTGCGACGAGCTGGGCCATCTGCGTTACATCTTTGAGATTCGCTCTACAATGATGTCAGCTTCCTTATAGGCATGATGTTGGTGTGGTGCATACCCTTTAGCAGCAAGCGCACCGGCAATCTTCTGGACGAGCACTGTTCCCGCAATACCTCTGCGTCCGACCTTACCTCCTTTCGCACGCCCTACACCCGCATCGTCGCCGACTACCACCATGTCGACTTCAATACCAGCAGCGCGCGCCTTCTCTACGGCCATGCCGAAGTTGAGCACATCGCCAGTGTAGTTCATCACAATCACGAGGACGCCTTTGTCTTTTTGGATGCGATGAAGAATGCATCTTCGCACCTGCTCTGCACTTGGCGACGCGAAGATTGTACCTGCAACTGCTCCGGACAAAAGGCCAGCACCGACAAACGATGCGAATGAAGGCTCGTGACCACTACCACCTCCAGAAACTATGCTGACTTGCGATGCGCCATTCTTGCGGTAGACGATCTTGTTGTTGATGTCGCATTGCACGGATGGGTTCGTCTGAGGGATGCTGAGTAGCGCGGTGTTGACGAGGTGTGTCGGGTCGTGGATGAAGTGTCTCGCTGAGTACGTTAACTATCTGATCGCATAGGTTTTGATGGGAATGCATACATGACATTGTGATTACTATATGTCCAGCTCAATGGAGTGCGCAAATTGGTGTAGAACGACGGAACACAGAGCGGATGGAAATCGCAAAAGTAGCATGACGAAAGACCAAGAAACCTTCAATACCCGACCCGACAATCAATCATTCCACCATTCCTTCGTGTCATTTGACATATGCCGACATAGCCAGTGGCCACACGGAATCGCGTCCGCGTTCCGTCTTGTTTCCAGGCATTTGGAGAGCTCCAGTACTCTAAGTGGGGTTGCGCAGATGCGTGAGGGGTAGCTTTGCGTTACTGTGGGGTCGCTCCTTCCCCCGAACCCCGAGATGTCAGCAAGCATAGCTGCCGGCTTCCTTTTCTGGGCGATGCCGTACCAAGTTTCGGTCTTCCGACCACTCCTACACCAAGCATTGAAACTACGACGAGCCTCATACGGAACAGGTCCGGGAGACTGGATTTCTTGTATATGACCATGCTTGCTTTTTCGATCTCGGCATTCGACAATCAGATCTCACCTACGTGCCCAGAGCTCATTACCCAACAATACGACTTTGGGCATGAATGACCGATTGCCGCCGTGATGATCATCAACTGGGCACGAAGCCCCTGCGTTTGTGGAGGAGATGGCGAGACGCGCTCATTCCTACCATTAGGCCGCTATTGCAGTTATGGAGCGGTACCCAGAGTGTGAGTTGATGGCACACACCCGTGATTGTCCGAGCCTTCGACTGGCTATGGTACCTTCGCTACCACGAAGTTTGTGCGGAGCCACATGGACTCGCACACATCTGGGAGAATCTCAATATCTCATGTAGCTTCACACTTACATTCACTACCCGCCTGCCTTAACAATCATGTCTCAGCTGGAAACCTCCGTTTCGTGCGCTGAGAAACGTTACAAAATCAATGCAAAGAGAAGTCCACTATACGCCCTTCCCTACGAGGTCCTAGCCCATATCCGGGGGTACTTGGATCACACCGAGAAGACTTGCTTTGCGCTGTCAGGCGCCAAGTTCTTCAAAAGTTTCCCATCCATCACTGTTCCAGAAGAGAAAGTCGGCGATACCAAGATCGACGTCTATCTTCGGCTTCTGAGAGACGACTTCTACAGAGAAGCCCACAAACGACCGGGGATCTGGTGCGTTTATTGTGCAGATGTACACAAGGATACGCACTTCATCGAGAGCATGCTCTGTCGCCCACGGCAGGAACGCAAATGTTCCTCTACACTCAGACTGTGCCCACACAGGTCTTACTCTCTGGACTACTTGAGAGATAAGGTAGAAAGAGCTGTATCTCTTAGGGGTAGGCAGGCCATGTACTTTAGTCTCCGGTGCTATACTTGCGAAACAGAGTTGAAAAAAAGCCAGATACACTTCACCAATTGTGCCGTCACATACGATCAGAAGTCTGGAGACTATGTCATGAGAAGTGACATAACCATAGGCTTTTCGAAAGCAAAATGCTCGGGTTTACATACAGAAGCGCGTAGAGTCCTACAAAAACTCGATTTCACAGCGTGTCTTCACAGACAAATTTCTGAGGAAAGCACCATAAACCGGTTTGTCGATGCCGAGACCGGGGTCGTCAAAGCAGAAAAGCAGGACCAAACCCATCGCGTACATTGCGAGCACTGTAAAACGATGGTACGAACCAGATACGTCAAATCCTTGTGTTTTTCGCCTCACAAGCCAGGAGCAGCAGCAGCGGAAACCGGACTGAAGATAGATATTATACGTAACTTGGGCAAATTGTCAAACGAAGACGACCCGACATGGAGAGCGCATCTTCGAAAGCGGCAATTGAAAGTCACAAAGGATTAAGGCGACCTGGGTTCGGCTCGATCTGGGTTGGATACCACGATGAGAGAGTGGGAAAGCAAGAGCTACGTGCATGGCCGCCAAGATGGAGAGCGGTCGGGCCTCACGGAGTAGGTTCGGCTTTGAAAAGCTACCCCACCATCTGATAAGATTCTAATCTACACCCCACCAACCCGTCGCGTCGAGCTCCAGCCATCGCGTCCTCAGGCAATCCGTCTCATCTTTCAAGTTACGCGTCGTATTGCTGAACTTCGAAATAATCACCTCAAAATACCACAACCCGCATTTGTCTTTTATATCTAAACCTCAACGCGAAGATGGCACACCCTGGCACCGCCCATAAATACACCAAAGGCCTCATCGCCTTCGAACATGCCTCGCCTCACCCTTCGTCCTCCTACAACACCATCCTCTGGATAGGCGGGCTGACAGACGGCCTCCTCACCGTCCCCTACCCCTCGCTCATCGCTGCCTCCCTCCCATCAACCTGGTCTCTTGCCGAAGTCCTCCTTACATCCTCCTACAGCGGTTGGGGCACCGGTAGCCTGGCGCGAGACGCGACTGAACTCGGGGAATGCGTGGCACACTTCAAGAAATTGAGACCGGGGAAGAAGATTGTGCTTATGGGGCATTCGACAGGATGTCAGGACATCATGGAGTACTTGCTTGGAAAGGGAGCAGAGGGGAGGGACAAAGTGGATGGCGTGATACTACAGGGTGGTGTAAGTGATAGGGAAGCGTGGGAAGATTATTACAAAGATGGACGAGATAGGGAACAGCTCGAAAGAGCGATTGAGACGGCGTATGCCTTGATACACACGGCGAAGGAGGATGAGGTCGTGTCGCCGGAAAGCAATCGTGTGTTTAAAGACATGGGCGGCCCCCTCAACGCCTACCGCGCATACTCCCTCCTCGCCAAAGGCGGCGACGACGATTACTTCTCCAGCGACCTATCCGACGAACACTTCGCGACTACATTCGGCGCGATACCAAAGACCACACCGGTGTGCTTTTTACTAGGGGCTGAGGACCCCTACGTCCCTACGAGCATCGACCGTGCCGCCCTGCTCCAGCGCTGGACGAGGATAATACGGGAAGGCGGTGGTGTTGTGGATGATGAAGATGGTGGTGTGATACCGGGTGCACATCATAATCTTGATGGGGATCCGGAGGAGGTTGTGCAGGATCTGGTCAGGAGGGTGCTTGGGTTTGTTACGGGATTGGACGATAAGACTAGGTCGTGGTATGCGTAGTTTCTCACAGAAATGACGGACACACAATTCTTCAAGTAATGTATTACCGTGGCATGCTAACCATGCACACCACTGCCTCTCAGCAAGTTGCTACTCAACGATATCTAGCTTTTGGTATCCCCATTCCAACCCAACCCAACCCATAATGCCGTTAATTCATCCTATCCCAACCCCGAATACAAGCAAAAGAGCATCCAAAGCCCTCCCACATACCAATACCTCAAACGCCCACGCAATGCAAAAACAGCCCATTCCATCTCGCGCCACACTCAGTCAAACCCGGTCCTCCACTGTTTCCCCATAAGTTTTTTGGTTTGCGTCGCAAAGTAGTGCTTCCGTCTTCGCTCTCGCTCTGCTGGGCTCCGCTCTGCTTCTTCTGTTTCTTCAGCTGGTAATACCTCGGTATCCTAAGCCCCCGGCATACCACCAGGTTCCTCAAACACCGCCTGCACAACCCATTGCTCGCCGAACTTGATCCCCTTCCCGCCACTGATACCAGCGTTGCGCCAAGGACGATTAACGCCAATATCCACGATCCAGATGAGCCACTGTGGATCGCGTCCGGAGCCGTTTTGAAGGGCTTTGACGAGCCCTGTGCGTGGCGCGCCGAGACAAACGATGTACTTTGCGCGGACTTCGAGGGGTTCGCCTTCTAGGATGGAGACTTCGCCCGTAGAGCCGCCGACTCCAGAGGGTGTTTCGACAGCGAGACACGCGGCGCGCGATTTGTTGGCCCAGCCGACGATGTTGAGTACAACGCGTTGGTCTTGATCGCCAAGGGCTTCGAATTCTTTGTGGCGGCCGAGCAGAGCATCAATAATAAGTTCCGGTGGTGCTTGAAGACGCTTTAGAGCTTCTTCAGTCGCGTTCCAGGAGCGGACGGTGCCGCCGAATTTGCGAAAGAGCTCGACTTGACGGCGTATGTCCTTGTCCCAGTCTGCGTTGCGTTCGAAGCCGAGGAGGGCGACCATAACTTTTGGCCCGCGTTGGGCGAGGTGCCGTGCTGCTGCTACTGCGCGTGCGCCTCCGCGATGGTTGCCTGCGAGGACCACAATAACGGGGTTGGCGTTTGGATTGGCGCGCGAAAGACGCATGCCTCCGGGATTTATAGCGGTCAGAGCAACTTCTGCAATACCTCGTCCTGAGTTCTCTGCCATGATGTCTTCGTTGAGGCCAAAGTCTACCTCGGCAGTTTCCTCTACGGCCAGCATAGCGCCAGGAGTAATGGCGAAGCACTTGCGGTTGTTAGACACCAGTCGTAAGCAGCCCTTAGCGCTAGACTCGAGAGGCGACTCTGGTGGTGTAGCAACGCGCCCTGGCCTGGGGCTACCGGTAGCATGTGAGGACGTGTAGGGGCGGTTGATGAACGAACGGTTAGTGCGCGGCAACACGCCTGAACCCATCATATCCATGTCGGCCTGCACGCTGCCTTGCCTTGTTGGTGCCATCTTGACTGAAGCCCTGGACATTGCCCGTCTAGAGTTACGTCCGCTGCCAAAGTCCTCCTCTTCCTCCTCAGAGCTTGTGTTGGTCGTGCTTTTCAGCTTCCGATCCAACACGTTTTCCGTAGGATGAAGGTTCTTTCCGCCGTGTGTACCAGGTCTAGCCAAGCGATTGAAGCTGACCAGGCGGTCCTCGTCTGCAGTGGTGTCCTCATTCCTAATCTGATTGAACACGGTACGCTTGTCAAACTTAGAGAGGTTACTCTGGAAGTCGAATTCAGGCATGTCCTGGATATCGGTCGCGTCTTCCGTGGCCCAGCCGTTTGTAGCTTCGAGCGCCTGTTGCCGTTTCGTTTTGCGATTCGACGCGTTCGCCGCTGCGAGACCGACTCTACCGCCGATGACTCCCGGAGTCCGCGTCTGTGGCTGTTCGGCGGCTTGTAGCATGGGAGTGTTTCTCCAACCATTGCCTTTGCTAGTATATGTTAGCTCCCTGATATGCGACAAAGGACATGGAATCCAGAATCCCACATACCCTTTCTTGACCGCCTCAACGTCACCATTCTTCCTCTCTTGAGCGGCAAGTTCCTTCTTACGAGACTTGCCCCCTCTTCGAGTCTTCTTGCCATTGTCATCGTTCTTCTGCGGGCTGGGGTCATCCATAGGCTTGCCGGTCCTCGTCTTGGTGATGCTTGCCCTTCGCGCATTCACCTGTGCTGTCCGCGCCTCACTGTCCGCCTCCTCAGCATCCGCAATATCCAGGGACGAGAATGGACCTTCCAGAGTCGCCGCACTCGGCTTTCGGACGTTGTGTTGCTTCGCATGGCTTGCGAAAGAGGACGTGTTCTTCGCTATGGCCGCCGCGCTCGTAGCAGCCACGGGCTTTATAGGCGTCGCAGGAGCTTCCTGAGGGGTTGCGGAAACAGGACCACCCAAGATAGGGGCGGTAGAAGTGCGCTTTCCCATGCTGAGAATCGCAGGATCGACAAACGGCGCGGCTTGAGCTGGCTGAGGAGCGGTCTGGCGAGGCGCTTGACGAGCATTCTGGTAGGCAGGTGCGCCTGCAGGCGGGATCCCGGACGGCTGGCTAACAAGATGCGGAACTTGTTGGCCCATATGCTGCGACTGGCGCTGGATATGGCCCGGAGGATATTGCGAGTGTGAGTATGCCTGCGGGCCTGATCGCGTGGGCAGAGGTTGGGGAGGAGCGGGCGCGGACGGATTGACCTTGATGTCTGCAATCATTTGTCCCTCTACCGTGTAGGAAGCGACACGGTGACCGGAGTTGGGGAAGAAGACTGCAGACGTCAGCGTATGCCCATATTCATGAATTCTGGCTGCGGTGTACCATCTTGGAGAACGAGTGTAGCTGTCTGCTGGTCCACGGCGCTGACGACGCCCACGACGACAGCACCTGGGGGGGACTGCAGCGTGACCGCGACCGACAATCCGACGAAAGCGCTCGCCATGTTTGCGGTAGATCGGACGTGTTGGAGGTGGAGCGGTGATCCCGAGTCCGTTGTAACCCCAACCTAACTATTTCGCGGGTCGTGCTTTCGCGCTAACGCAGTGGTCAGCCACAGTCTAGCCTCAACGGCCGTCTTCACATGCTCAGCATAAAAGGGACACCCGGTCACAAGTTGCGCCAAGGTACCCTGCACATGGAAGAAAACAAACAAAAGCGAATAGGGGGTATAGACTACCAGACCTTGAGATGCTGGATATTTTGGAATGTGTAAGAGCTACCTAGACTTCGGGTGTATCTTCTCTCTGTTAAAGTATCCAGATAGGCACGCGCTCAACTTTCCCTTGAATGACGTGCACTTGGAAAGGAGACAGAAGGAAGAATAACTCATGTTCATTACGCGTATTCATCTAACTAAGCCCGCCTCATCACCTAAAAGCAAATCAAAAAGTCCAGGGTATCCATACAATCGTTCCATGTCATCGCGCTCCATCAACCACGAGGCGCAAGTCGCGTGCGCCTCGACTGATAACGCGATATTCCCAGCCCCGCATCAAACAAGCTCCCACGTGGCCACTGAGCCAAACATACACGAGTACGCCCTCTTGTTGTTCCAAGTGGCCAGGCTCAAACCACGTGCATCCTTCTTATTAAATTCTGTCACGGCCACAATCGAAATCTTCTGGCCCGGCGCACCAAGGTCCATGCGCGGAGAGTCGAGCCACCAAGTGCGCCCGTCGGTGTTCAACGGCTTGTAGTCTGGATTCCGGCCGTCTCTGCCGGCAACGCTTAGGAGCATAATGTAGGGCGGACCCTTTCCGTTGATCTGGGGATCCCAGTGCGGGCAGATGAATGACATTTGGAACCGGACTACTGCTGGTGCGTAGGGGTCATTTACTTTGATCTTGGCTTGTGACGGTTCAAAGGTTTGCTCGCCGAAGCCGTGGAGCTTCATGCCATTGCCGCAGAGGAAGAGGCGCCCGCCCTCGTCATGTCGCATGAACTCTTCGTATGACATGATGCGTCCGTCGGTGCGGAACTGGTGAGAGGCTTCTCCGGGGTAGTGCTTCAGTCCGAATTCGTTGTTGTCCATGATGAAATGCTGCGGAGCGAAGGCTCGTACGTATCTAGTGGATGTTAGCCCTTGTTCGACGGGCGATGAACTGCGAAAGAAGTATCATCACGAAAAGCTTACCCTTCGCCCTTATTACGACACCCTAAGTGTCCAGCTCCCCAACAAGGATCAATGAGCTTCCATTCTCCGTTATCGATCTTGACAGCGTTCCAGGCATGTGTCGATTCATAAGGTGGTGTAGGTTGACCAGGCTCCAGAGGTGCGTGGCCGTAACCCTTGCACGCACCGGAACATACCATAGCTTCCAACCCAGCTTTCAGAGCCAGAGCAGCGAACAGACCGGCATAACCTTCGCATACTGCCAGACCTGATGCAATTGTCTTCTCGGGTGTAGTAGGCATAACCGTGTTGTTGAAGAACGAGTGAGTATCGTAGTCGACGTTATGATGAAGCCAGGTGAAGATCGCTCGAGCCTTGTCTGTAGGTGAGGGAAACTGTGAGCATAGTTGATGAGCAAGCCAGCCCACGTCTGAGTTGGGAAGTTGGGTACGAGGGAACTGCGCAGCGTGATTGTCTGGACCTGAGAAGTCCCGACACTTCAGGCAACTTGATGGAGCAGCACCTGGTTTCGGCTTGGAAGCCATGAGGGCGCTGAGATTCGGTCTGGACGACATGGGAACAGGTGGTGGTGCACCAAGAGCCGGGGCTGAATCGGATGTAACTGCTGGTGGGCGAGTTGAAGGCACAGGTGGGGGTGTAGCGGGCTTGTTGTTGAAGCCCATGTCCAACGCTGACCGTCGCGGTGGTGGTGGTGCGATCAATCTGTTTGTTCGAGAGGTGTCGTTTGAGGATTGCCTCTGTGGCAGCGCTGGCACAGGCTGAGGCGATCGCTCGCGAACGATAGACTGTCTAGGAGGTAGAGAGGGTCTTGCCGGTAGGTCTGCACGGCATCGTGTTAGCAGTGCTCTTGATGCGTGCCACAGCTGTAGTCTACTTACTGGGTGTCTTGAGCTGAGGG